AAAAGAATAGCCTCTATTCTGACGAATCATGAAAAACACTGCTAGAAGAGACGCTTCAAAGGAATCCTTTCACTACACACATGTTGTGCTGTACCCAGGGACAGGGCTAATATAGGGGAAGAAATAATCATTTACATCTGTTTACTATCCTACCACTTTACTGGGGAGGATCGGTAACATAATATGATCGTCAGAATCGGTATGACCATGGAGGTAGGAATAACCCATTTCCTTCCTATATGGGTATGTCATCGACGGACCAAGTGTAATAACTTCTGCAGTTCTGAGCCAAGTGTGCGCTAAACACTATTTCGCTAACAGACACCTGAAAGTTGCGGTCTCAGAAGATGCTCCATGTGCTTAGTAATCGAACAAACAGAAATCACATTTCTTTTCTGACTAAATAGTATTTGTATACAGTAGAACCTCGTAATACGAGTTTAATTCGTTCCAGAATTGAGCTCGTATAGCGAATTTCTCAGAAAGTCTACCAAGACATATCTCTCCCAAGGCACACAGTTTTTATACATTTTGCTATAATAAATTAACTTAATTTTGGAATAAGTTAATCAGTTAAAGTCTGATGTAGACAACTTCTGTACAAAGGAGAGCTAATTAAATGTATAGGGTCCACACATCTTATAATGCTTAGGTTTCCCAATATTTAAGGATTTATCCGGATTAATAAACACCAGATGTTTCAAGCTGATAAAAAGTATATTTCAAACTATCTTTGGTTACATTTGGTTATCTTTTTATATTTAAATTTCTTTAAAAGTTTATTAATTATTTTATATACAAACGTATATTTCACCCATGAAAAGGGATATATGCACAATAAATGCATATAAATATGTATAAAATCTATATTTGAGAGGATTTCGCGTTTTCATACATGTTTGTTTTTCCACTTCGATAATTTCACCGCATTTTTGTTCAGAATTCTTCTGATTTATACTAAAACTTACCGAAATGTCACACACATAAATTTACTCTTGAAAAATAAATTTCTGTACTATATATTTTTCTGCTATTTCAGTGGGCCCATCAGCGGCTGAGCAATTAAGTCCGAACATTGCTAGTTCAACATGGATTCGATTCCAAGGAAACGTACTGACTGTAGGGACGTTTCCGTGGTTTTACATACATAATATGGATACTAATCAATTCCTCAAAATCATCGCCGGTATTGAAAAAGCTTTTAGAGTCTTTAAAACTTCAGAAACACAGAAGGACACAGTCTGACACTTAATTACTCACAACATGGATTTTAATAACAGATCATTTGTTTCAAATCTTAACCAAAAGGAAACGGAGGCCTAACATGAAATTCATTCTAATACTAAGATTATAATTTCTAAAGCTGATAAGGGTGGGCAGATAGTTGTTATTGACAAACCCATATATATATTGATGGAGTCTCAAAACTGATAAATGAAGGTCTATACTGCTCGAGCCTTCATAAGATCCTTCAACGTCTGATCTCATGAAAGGAAAAAAAAAACTGTTCTGTCTTCTCATATAATCCCAACTCAGTTTAAAAGGTCACTTAATACACCTATTGCTAACTATGCCAGATTATATGCTCTGCAAAATTCATAAAAGTGGTATTCCTTTCCGCCCTACTGTATTAAATTTAGGCTTTGCCTTGTAACCGTTACCTAAATATTTAGTTTCTAGATTTTTCGCTTTGTAGATAATAACACTGACACTATAAAAATTTCAATACAGTTTAAAAAGAAGGTTAAAAGCTTTTCTCGTAGGAATTTGCTCATGTTTTCTTTTGATGTAAAATCATTATGCACCAATGTTGCAGTTGAAGGTGCATTAAAATGTCTAGAAACCAGACTTCGTCAATTTCACTTCTTCTCCATTGAAATTGATGAGCTAATTTCTCTTAATCAACTTTGTTTGAAACAAACACATTTTGTTTTCCAAAATAAGTATTACAAGGAAATTGAGGATTAGCCACGGGAAGTCCTTTTAGTCCCATCTTTGCTGATATGTACATGCCTTAATTAAATTTACAAATATTATGCTGTTTCTTGTTGTTAAACTTCTCCTTTAATCTGAATATTTATTAGACAAGATGACAAAATAAATTCCAGAAGTATAGATTAAATAAAAAAAATTGTCAACCAAATCTAATTCGCCAATGGAAGTTTTTTTTAAATAATTTTGGCTGTAGAACAATGAGAAATTTGATTTTTTTCTGACCAACAGTGTTGGAGAACATAGGATTTATGTATTTCGTTTTTCACAAATATTCCGCTCAGGGACTGTTAATATTTGTACTTACAGCTATTGTTTCCAATAATTTGGTAATTCGTTGTAATTATTTATTTTTAAAACAAAGCTAAAATTGGTTTGAAGAAATTTGTATTGGTGTAAAATTTAAAGTTATTGTCTTAGATTTTAGCTACTATAATGTAAACATAATTGATTTCTTCTTACTGTATTTTATCCATTGATTCATTTATATAATACTATCAAGCAATTATTGCAGTAACAATCTTATCAGCTTTTTAAAAATCATTATGTACAATATGTTATTTGCATTCAAATGATTGTCTGAGAACTTTCCAAATATGCCTGGACAAATAAACGAAAATTATGATAACTGTAAGATTTTATGATACAAAACTGTATCTTAGAAGAACTTTTTCTGGGACAAAAAAGATAACACCGTTCTTTATTTACGCTACATGCCATAGTTAAAGCTTTTGATCTTCCTTCAAGAATGAAAAAATTATGTGAAGGAGATAATTCTAAACTTCCTTTTCAGAATATTAAATGAGTACACTCTAATAGCACTTCCTTGTAGGTATTTGTTTTTCTTCATATGTATCACGTGACGCCAGAAGAAGGTTTTTTTTTTTTTTTTTTCTTTCCCAAAGGCTACCTAAACGATCTATGAATAAATTAATAATGTAAAATTTACGAGATGTAGGAGGGATGCCATGAGATTGCATTTGTCTATTTAACATTGAGTAAATGGCTATCGAGCTAAATTGGCGAGATATCGCTAAGCTGTCGATGTTTTTAGCAACTAATTTTTGCCTCCAGAAATCACCAAATGTCTCCAAATTTGGCGACATTTTGGTCCGGTCCCTGTATATGTGTAATGGGTATTGTAATTGAATAACTGTAATTGATTTTGTATGTAGCTCTAACCGTATCCAGCCCTCATATGCCTTCTAATAATTTCAAGAAGTCGAAGGTACTAGAAATCTCTCATCGGCTGGGAGACAACTATATAAGAGCTAGAAGACATCAGTTGCTGAGTGATTGTTGTTTAGTTCAGCATTATTTCAGAGTACTGATATATCTCCGTGACAGCTTCGCACTTTAGATGCGCTTTGCATTGCGTTCTGTTTGACATTCTTAGTAGACTGAAGTGTAATTACTGATTGTGTTCTGTGATACTGTGAAGAGCTCAACGATTATTTTTGTGGAAAGCTCCAGAACTGTGAAGGGTTTCTTTTGGTGAAATAAATTTTATCTAGCTATCATTAGTTCTGTATGCATTCAATCTATTACGAACCCGTACACAGGCAGTAATATTTAAGGAAATGAAAGACGCATGGAAACCCGACTGGGAAAAGAATATTATTATGCCTAATTAATAATTTTCTGTTTCATTACTGAGATTTTGAGAATATATTTTGTTAACTACTGGAATACGCTTTCGTCTTTTTAACCTGGATGCTGAGAGGGGCTATAATTGGCGGTAGTGATATCATATAAATATATTCATGCTTTCGGCTGAAGATGAGTGATTTTATATTTTTCATTTCTTTGAAGTTTCGCATCTACGGTTAGAGTATACTGCAATTCTAGCCATTCTTTGAACCCTTAAATTACTAGGATAGTATTTGAGCTGAAAAATTGTGGTAAACAAATTGATTTAACGGTTTTAACAGAATGTCATATTCTAACTGATTTGATTACTTAGTTATGACAAAGCACTCGAGTATATACCACAGAGGTCCAGATGCTTCCATTAAGGACGTTCTAAGGGGTTTTACTTACATTACGCAGAGAAAGGCAGTAAAACCAGATACGGCTAAAACTTCAGGAAAAGAAAAAACGGACTGTATTCCGCACATTCACCCATTGGGCCACTCTGCTGACTAGTTGAATCCAAGCATACACGTTATTGCCTAAACAGTATTGTCACAGGAAAAATGAAAAGCGCAAATAGATAATCTATGTACATCTGATTATTTGCTAAGACATTCTTCCATTATGAATGGGTAAAAAAATAATGCGGTCAGTTTTGTAGCGATAGAATTACTTCTTTCGGAGAAAATCTTTGTGAAAAAGGGGTTTAACCCACTTACGTAATGCCTTCTTTTTAATGCTCATATAAGCTGAATTAATATTGTAGCATGCTAAAATAATGGTAATCCATCCGCTTTCTTCGTTTTGTCTCCATTTCTAACTAAACCCATGAAGAATGATGGACAAGAAGTGAATGGAGCTACCTTTGGTGAGAAAGTTAGAGGCATTATTTGTGACATCATGTGCGATTCTCTCCCTCGTCGAAAGATGCATCCAAGTACTATCCATCACTCTGTAAATGTTTGTCCTAATCAATGTTCATACATCACACTAATTTTAATTGATAACGACTTGGAAAGCTGTACCCGAAGACGTTTTATTTATGCACTTTTGCACCAACCACACAAGAATACTTCGCAATAAAAGATTTTACATGCTTTTGTTCCGTGCTCAGATTATGATCCCAAACATCCGATCCATAATTCGTATTTACATTCAGGCCCACGAATGGGAAGCCGACGTAGGCATTTCCTAAAAATATAATTAAAATATTCAGCTGTATTTTGGTATCTGTTAAGCAATTGAAATAAGAATTCTATAAGTAAATTGTTATATGATTTTCATTCGACGAATTCGTTTTTTCAAAAGTCGCTTGTATCGAGTGAAGCTTAGTGAATTTAAAGATTATCAGTTTATTTTGTGCTTTTCTCTTACAGGAACCCCGTTATTCTCGACCATTCAAACCTGGCATTGACGTGAATTTGTATGCTACCAAAAAGAGTGTTGCTCAAGGAATGATGGATATTGCGCTGTTAACAGCTAATGCCTCTCAGCTCAAGTACATACTGAGAGAAGGCGAAAACAGTCGATTTTATCTTGTAAATGTCATATGTATAGGCATTTCCATAGCTCTGCAGGTCAGTATCTATCCATGTATTACGCTTAACACAAATGAATAAATTTTGTTTTTAAGTTGCTTTAATTTTAATTTAAAAACATTTATAGATCTTGTTAAGCTGAAGTTGAAGGTAAGCTGTATCACAATTTTACCGTAAATTCTGTCAGGAATTACTTTCTCATTTTTCTGTATACATACAGAAATTTCTATTAAATGAATTGAGGATGATATTATTAATATTAAAGGAATGAATCTTTTTTACACGAATAACTAAATAACTTATTATGCTGAAGTACTCATAAAAGGCTATTACAAATTATACGTAAAGAGCATTTGATAACTTGAAACTCTAGAACGCAGAATGTCAGCACACAGATTTCTAAGGGCACTCAGATAAGAACATAAACAAACAAGGAAATAAAAAGTGAAGAAATAAGAATGAAATATCGCATTAATATAATTAATAGAGCTCTCAATTACAAGCATGTAGATCTTTGCTTTGAATCGTTGTCGAAACAAAAATGATCGGATACAAGACAAGTAACCAGATTTAAAAATTTACTATCCTTGTATATTAGTCAAGCTAAATAGATACTTTTAACTCTTATGATGTACACTACGATTGGTCAAATCGCAGTGTATGCAAGAAGTGTTGGAAATGTGACTGTCATAGAGAGCAGTCTGGTTCATGTTGTGTAAATGTTTGATCTTTAGAAAATCAGGGAATTATTTATGTGTTCTTTTAATACTTGAATGAAATTTTTACTTTACATAGAGAAAATATCAGCTTAAGATTCAGCTGTGAATAGCTTTTGACCATTAATGGTGATTATTGATATTTGTGATTTTTCTTAAGATAAGAATTAAGCTACCGTGAACATTTAATCTTTCTCGAAGCCTCGGATTCTGATTCAATAATACTTCTCGTATGTGTGAAAATATGACAACTGTTTGCTGTCAGTTTGGAACATCGTAATTATCTGAACTTTCAATTGTCATGATTATGTCTTTATCCTCTTTCTTATTTTTATAACTTTCCTGTTTACATTTTAACTATTACTTTTCCTTTATTGTGTAGTGCACATATAGTTTTGTCTCTTTTAAAAAAATTGCACAATTAAACTATAAATATTTATAGTTTAATTGTGCAATTTTTCAGTTGCTTTTGCATAACTGATATACGTATTTGATAAATTTAGGCAATTTTAATTTTCTTAAAGTATCCCAGTTTTTATGTGCAAATATGAAAAACTATTAATAAATCTGAAAAATGTAAACAAATGCAGCCATCATTGCAATCGAGGAAAAGAAAAAAGTAAAGAAAAGTTTGGTAGGAGTAACTTCTACAGAAGGGAAAAAATGGCTTCTTCACTCCTCTGTTTTTATTGAGCAAAGTTACTGGATAATATATTCTAAATGTAGAAAGAGTATATGCTGTATGTGGTTTTAATCATAATTTTGTCATAATTTTAATTTAGAATCAGATAATATTTGGTATTTTATGCTTTGTTATTTTATTATGCTGCTGTGCAAAAATTATGGAGTAGATGGATTTTCATTTGCTACGTCGTGCAGCAGATCGAACGCCATTTCGTATGAAAATGGATTCAAAGCATTCCATAACAATGTCAAGTTATAAGACTATGCGAAAAGTGATCAACCCTGGCCAATAATCCAGAACTTTATTTAAAAATGGGTTCCAAGAATAGGAAGGTAGAAGACAGAAACGTCCGTTTGACAATAGGTAGACAAGCAAAATGCAGCCATCAATAAAGAATGTGATCACCCTTGCCTGCGATGCAGAATGTGCACTTCCTGTACAAATTCGAGACGAGGTCAGCGAGAAGCTTTCAATAGATCAAACACCAGTCCACTTAAAGATCTAATTTAGCTGTGGCATCTTTGCTGATGGCGGGTCTCGCTCCAGAGAACATTCAACACTATACCGGTTGAATTCAGTTCTGGTGAATCATACGGTGTACTAAAATTAGTGCAACAACTTAGCTATAGTAACTGTAAGATGATATAGCGAAGATGTCATCTTTGGAAAAGAACTCGGGGCCAATAGCAACCTGTAAATGCGCTTAAGAGAAAGGTGAACTTTGGCACCAGTGATTGAGCTAGGGACTGAACCTCCTTGGAAGATTAAGAATCCGTGCGATGGCCAAGCATTATATCTTTGCAATGGAGAAAGTTTGCTATCTCTAGATTGGCGCCTTTCGATGATGTCGAAGGAATGATAGCATGTCCCCCCCCTCTCTCTCCAAATGTGAATACGTCCAGAACCGCTAGTGACATTAAACCAGTTCTCATCTGTGAAGAGCCTATTGTTGATCTTACCTGTTCTGAGTTTTCTGCTCCCACAAAACGCCGTGTTCGATGGATAGATGCAAATGACACACATATACTGGTCGCCGAGTGAATAAACTAATTGTATGCAATCACCTGGTCACTGTAAAACGCGGTATCAGTCACCCAGTAATGTGCTGTATGTGTCTTTCGATTTCACCCGCTGTCTGTCTTCAATCTAACCTCGCAGGTCAAATTAACGGTCATCCATCGTCATGGGAAACTATTACTTAACTTTCAAATAGCTGTTTCTATCATTTAAAATGCCTTCCTAACTCTTACCACGATGGTGTGTGTGATTTCGAACTCCTTAGCCATACTATTCGCACTTCAACAGTCTTCCGATTTCTCAATGATTCGACTAGATGATCTAGATGATGTCTGAGGGACTGTCGGTTGAAAGTATTATACCGAGATAGCAACTCGATGTTGTTCAAGCTGATGTATACCTTCAGTATTTTCCACTGAAATACTAAGTGCACAACACACTCGTACTTTACACCTTTCCCACACATCTACAAGATGTTCTATTGCTTTAATATTCGTATTGGACCCTAAACAGTGTCTTGATTGATCTTTCAGTCGGTTCTCTCTGTTCCGTACTCTGTTAATTACTGCGCTCAGTCCTAAATTTCTGCTTACCAGTTTTGTAGGGTTTTTCTTCCACCTTACCGCGTGCCTTCATGGCGTAATTAAAAAGTAACATCCGGATAGCAATTGGAAGTTCCGGTGATCGAACCCCGGCGAGGGCATTGCTCATTTATTCCTTTTATCATTTTATGACTGTGTCCCTGCCTCCCTAGTCGTCTTTGTAAGGGAGTTTTTTCCCTACCTTCTTTCCGCATGCCTTCGTAGTGTAGCTAAAAATTACATCCGGCTAGCAATCGAAAGGTTCGGAGTTCATGTCCCGGCGAGAACACTGCACGTTTTTCACAGCTCCTGCTCCCGCCAAAAAATACTTAGTGTCCTCTACACAGTGTATAATTAAAATTAATTGAGAATGTTAAAAATATTTTGATAATAATCTACTTAAATAATTTATCAAATACCTTAGAAAATTTTACAATGTATTATTATCGTATTATAAAATTAAAAGTTATGTTTCTTTATAAATAACGTGTAGTTTTTACTTACTGTAATAATAAATTTTATTCTTTGCAGCTGGTCGTCGGAGTTCTTTTAATCTTGAATACCCGTTACAACATCAATTTGGTCAGCCATCAATCCAAAGCAGAGCTCATCAATAATCTCACTATCATTGGTGTTTTTCTCATCACTGTTTCAAATGTCTTTGTGTCTGCTTTTGGGACGTCCCCCAGATGAACAGAAGTTTTTATCGCTTTTATGTGTAATATGTGTTGATGAGAAGAAAATTGCTATTCTGTACCAAATAATTTTTTTATATATAATTTTGTATATTTACTGCAAGCTATCTTAAATAAAACTGATGGTATCATATTTAAAGGTGGATTTATAAACTGAAAATATACATTTAGAGACATTTCAAAAATTGAAAAAAGAAATACAAAGTCGTTCAACGTTCTGAAAATTGTTCTATTAACATTCTATGAACATATCGTTAATTTGGTTAGTTGACAAGATAGGTAAAATGACTCCCTCTCAAAGAATAATTGGAAAATTCCAAACTTAACTCTTAGATAGACAAGACCCTTAGATTACAATGCATCGATAAGGTGTTGCTCATCCCATTTGGGGCAATACAATTTTTGGGCTGGCAAAGGGAGCATTTGTGCACCTTGCAATTTATTTAGAGTCAGCCAGGTAGTGTGTGACCAGGCGTTAGCTTATTGAAAAATGTCATTTGAGCTGCCCTGAATGTACTGAAGGATGATGGGATATCAGCACGTCGTCAGCATAGAGACGTCCCGTTAACGTGCCAATAAAGGACACTACAGATAAATGACTACTAGAGTTAATGATATTCCAAACAACTATTCTACGCTGAATAGCTATATATCGCTCAAAAATAGCGGAGGTTTCCGACTGTAGACCACGTTACTTCCCCACCCCCAGACGGCTTGGGGGGAGATAACCTGGATTACGGATCATCATATATAAGACAGGAGCAAGATTCGTTGCTGAAGATTAGATTGTTCCATTTGCCACTGTACACAGCTCTACTGCGACACTATTGCCAATGGCAATGATGATGGCTTAGTGTTAATAGAAGCCTTTGAAACGGACGACTGGCTGCAAAACCTGCATCTGTCGAACATTGTGAAACTGGCCGCGTCGAAACTGAAGCAGCTGAATCAGCCTGAACACTTCGAGAAATATCTCCAGCCTAATCTGACAGCGCATTCATTTATTCTATGGCGTGATATCATATGCGACGACAAGTACTTTCTGACGACTGTCGTTTTGCTGCAGAAATCTTACGGTGCTGCATTTCCTTCTTGGGTCCATCCGATTAACAGTTGTAGCACCAACTTGAGTTCCTTCCCCGATACAACGTAAGGCTCAACCAGAAGCTTAACAAGGTCCGTTTGGTGATACTGAGTACGACGACATCTTAGAAACATTAAATACCTTTGTAGAGCTATTAGGTTATTTGGAAGCAGGAGATGTGAAAATGAGCAGCGCCTTCGCCGGGAATCGAACCACGGACCTCTGGAATACGCGCCCAGCGAGCAGACCACCACACCACGAAGGCATGTTAGGCGAAAGGCGGGAGAAATACCTTGTACCTTCTCTTCTTCATTCATCAGACTCGACAACAGCAGTAAAATGTACCTATTATAGCCATGATACTGCTGAAACTGGTGGTCGGCTTTCAAATATAATTATTCGCATAATAACGTGTACCTGTGCTCTCCTAAAAGAAATTTGCTTGGTGTGGCATCGTCTAGCATTTTCACGGTCAGGAAATGTGTTTTGGTATGATACACAAAACACTTCATATTTGAACGAGTGACTTATTGAAATATATGTATATATATAAATCTAAGCTAGGAGATGTAATCAACTAAGAGTTTCCTTACAAAATTCAAGGATATTCAACTTTGAGATTTTAATAAAAATTTGTACCACAAGCCTCGTACAAGAACGAAGACTCTTAAACATTAATTGTGTTGCAATAGAAAAATGACAATATACAAAATTCTAGGTTTACTTCAAAACCCATTTTCTTTTTTCTTCTATTTTAACGTGAATTATCATTGTTTTAAAAGTTAGACTGCGTAGTTTCTATGGAATATTCTGCACACTTTTATTGTTTTTATGCCTTTTTAAGGTGCTTTGCTACTTGGTTCGGAAATTTTCCCGATGAAGGAAAAAGTAATTAACAAGATTATGTAAAATTACGCAGCAATATCTATTCAATCAGAGGTTTAAATTTATAATTATATAATCAGATGTTCACCAAATTGCAAATTATTTTCAGGTACAGTATGTATGCAGGTAATTAATTATATCAATTTTTGATAGATATTTATGAAAAGAAAATCTAGAAGCGTATAACGAAAGATGTAACATTTTGAAGCACCACAGAATTTTTAAAAGTTTAATTTGTTGCTGTATCTCCGTCACAAAAGAAATCTTACGCCATCATGAAATTCAGATGTTTATTGTGCTCATTTATTTTAGCGGTGGAAATTTTTGTGTCAACTCTAAACGTAATGCATGCTTTGCTCGTATTTTAGAGTATCGCTAATGTAGTATGTCACCCTGTGCTTATCCTGCAAAAGTTACAAAGGATTATTACTAACTTTCTACCCTTCCGAGGTCACCATTAGTTGGTCTAGGTATTTTAAGGCCCTCATGCGTATTACCAGTAGTTCCTGTATAAATATGAAAGAATTAAGAAAATATGCGTATCAGATTTCCATTATCGATTCTTAATCACTGCACAAGAATATTTGAAATCTTAGCACATTGACTCAAATTGAAAGAAACCATTTTGAATGTAGTAGATACATAACGTTATATTACTTCATATTTTGTTAAAAATAGTTTCAGTTTAAAATTTTTAACACTTGACCCTTTCTAAACGAATTTAGCAATTTCATATAAATAAAAAGTATCTTGAATGATCTCGCGGTACTGATTCACTAGTAAAAATATTAGTTAATTTGTATGTTTCTTAAAGTAAAAAAAAAGCAAAATGTTCTTTTAATTATAGAAAATAATAAAACAATAGTACAGTTCTGCACTTTTTAAAAGATAGTTTCAGCATTTGGTATCTTTTTATTTTTATTTTTTCATAAACTAATTTATTTTAAAATGAGATTTAGGGAAGACTGTGCATTATAAATAGCCTGCTTTATGTTTAGTTACATTTCCTTTCTGGAGAGTTTGCAAACTCTTTACTCACGTGTCTTTTGTTATGAATAAGTATTCTTGAAGAATACAAATTTTGCATTGTATTATCTCAATTTTAAGCATTTCACCTTCTTGAATGAATGAAAGTGAAATTAATGTGTGAACCGACACTGAAACATTTAGTAGTAAAAGAAAAACAAAATGTTCTTCAGGAGAAAAGAAATTCCACCAGAAGAGAAAGTAATTTCGTTATCTCATCCAAACATGAACTGTTTTTTCTTTATCGAAAACTTCACTAATTGATGTGTCACTTGGACTAATAACTTGAATGATTTGTAGAAACTACAAACATGCTTGCCAGAAACATGAATACTTCATTTCCGGGCATTTTCTATTTCCTTCCGTCAGGAAAATCGCAAAATGACTCGAGTCACCAAATAGAACAGAAACCTTGCATTTCTTTTATCGCTGTAAAAATAGGAAGCACTGCTCTTCGTTAGAGTGATCGATTTTTAGCCGAGTGAAAATTCGAATACAGGTTTATGTTTTACTATTCTGCCTTTACACAAATATCGCTGACATAGCAGCGACTTCAGACTTTAGTAAATAAAATAACATCTAAGAACAATAAATGTTTTTCTAAATAAATTGGAAGAGAAAAATACACCTTTTATAATCCCACGGTAGCCTGTGCATATTACTCCTAAATGAAACTGCTTTACAAAAAAATAAATTCATACGTAAACCAATTTATTTGGTTTGTTGACTTTGCAGATAAAATTGCAATGAATATCGAGGCAAATATTTGTACTAATATTCAGGAATAAAAATTAGCCTGCATCGTTTAGTACAGTGAAGTAGCATACTATAGCAGGTATAACTAAAGCTGCTGGAGAATAGCATATGTGACTGTTTCCCATACTGGCTGTGAGTCCACAATTGTTAGAAGCTAAGCATTAAATTCTGTGTTATAAATAATAATCAACATATTCATTTCTCCCACTTCCGTTTGACAGTGAATCTGATTATCCAGAATGCTCCGTAAAGCAAGCGATTTATTTCGTTTCTTGTTTTTTAATTTATTATCTTGGGTTACCTATTCGACACAATAAGTAGGTGTGGCTGCATAGCAGTTTTTAACTGCAGATTGTAATACCGATATAGTTACAAAAGTGCAATATGATGACATATGATGACGGAACATAATTCTGCTATGCCTGACCTCGCAAGCAACTAGTCCCATGTGACATTATATTATATATGCTAGACTGTCATCTGTAGTTCATCACGTAAACAGTACTGATAAACAAAGACAAGATTTCTCTTAACGAAAGGCATCTATATAGATTCAAGCCTCATTATCTTTCTGGTTAACACTCAGACAAGTAGATGATATCAAATTGTTTACAATTTACCGTGTCCTCATATTTCGATCACTTACTTTCTGCCTCTCTTATCTTATTAAAAGAAAATCGAATCTCGTCTTCGTATTATTGAGAATTTCGTTATCAACTGTCAACAACAGAGGAAATAACTTTCTTCACACTTTAAGCAGTTTGTTTCATACACAATCTAGCTGCTGGAAAGCAGACAATCAGTTCAATTTTTAATTCCATTGATATGAACTGCACATATCAATGGAATTAAAAATTGAACTGCATTGTTTTAGCATCATTACAGCGTACTTTAAGGATCCAGTTCACTCAGATTTTTTGTTTGATGCAAGCAGTTACTTACCTTTTCATAACGAATGATAAATCTACGACTGCGGAGATGTTTTATGATCATACATATTTTAAACCTTAAGCATATGAATTAATGTTAAATTTCATATAATTACAAAAGCTTTTCTGAACATATAAAGCAAGTAATTAAAAAATCGTAAAGCAGTAAAATCAAGATTTCCTTGATCACTATTGTTTGAAAGAAAATTCTGTGTTTATTGAGTAGCGAAAAAAGCTGCAGGCATTTTAAAATTATTTTAAAGAATTTAAGTTTTCTTTGGAATAAAAATATAAGTTTTGAATTTGAGTTATATTCTTAAAAAAATACCTATATGCCTGCATTCTCTAATGCATTCTTTAAAGAAATGCATTCGCGAAATAAAAATTAATAAATGTTCTCATTAGTTTCCGGGTCAGGTTTTATGAAATCACTTTTTTTAAGAAAGCGGACTTTGAACTCACATCAGTATATTTCATAAAAGGGCGGGGGTTCAATGCGTAAACTTGCTAGTAGATCCTTTGATTCCTATCGAAACAAATTAGATGAAATGCTTTTTGCACAAGAAAAGCAGCATTCCATCCTAAACATTAAACGAGCCAAAACATTATGACCATCCCCACATTTTTCAATGAACTCGTCTGAATGACGTGGAGGGCACGTGAGTAAGTTGAAATGATATTTAACTGCTGCTGGAGATGTTATGGAATATCCTTCGTGGTGTAGTGGTCAGCACGCTCGACGCATGTTTGAGAGGTCCGTGGTTCGAGTTCCGGCAAGGGCGTTGCTCATTTTTTACTCCGATTTTGCGGGAACTCCGCCTTTCCTTGGTCTTTTCTCTCTTCTTGTGACGCATGGTCACCGCACTTTGCTTACCTCCGACCTCCCTTTACTTCGTCCAGTTCTAATTGTCATGGACCCATGTGGCATATTTATCAGCGAGGAGGACACGTCGCGCTTCGCGCGATATCCCTGCCATACCTGCATTGATTGACTGAGTTATGGAATCATTCTTATACACTCAAAGCTGTTTTTGTGCGGTGGATAGGGACCGCATAAAAAAATCGCACAAAACCTCACGAGCAGCTATAAAAAAATAGAATCAGAGTTGTTAAGAGTTGACTTTTTTCAGTCTCCATGTAGTCGGTGATCAATTTTTACGACGACTGCTGTTTCACTAGACGCTTGTTATTTATTTTATTTTATTTTATTGATAACTTCGTCATTTATGTTCCAATTTGATTGAAATGTTCATATACCACACAAAAAAAATCGCACAAAAAAAAGAAAAAAAGACCGCACAAAAACAAGTTTGACTGTACTTACTTTTGCGAGTGATGAAAAAGCTGTTGATATAAGCTAATTTGATAGAGGGCAGATTGTAATGGGCCGAAGACTCGGAACGAGCATCTCCAGACTGCACGACTGGTAGGTTGCTCACGATCAGTCGTTGTTAATATTTATGCAAAAATGGATAAATGACGGTGAAACCAACAGTAGACTCCAAGGTGTTGGACGTCTACGCATCACCAAACAAAAAGGACGTCGGAGAATGTCCCGCTTGGTACAGCAAAATCGGCGCCAGACAGTGGCTCATCTGACAGCCCAATACAACGCAAATCCAAATGTAAGTGTTTGGTACACACAGTTCAGCGGACGCTGTTGGGTATGGGACTGCTCAGCAGGCGTCCGACTCGTGTACCTCTGTTGACCAAACGTCATTGTCAACTACTTCTACAGTGGGGCCGTTAACTTCGAGATTGACCATAGACAAGTGGAAGACAGTTGCCCGGTCGGATGAATCCTGATTTCTCATTCATCACGTCGATGGGGGTGTCAGAGTACGCCGTCTTCCAGGCAAACATTTGCTCCCCCCTTGTACAGCAAGTCATACACAGGCTGGTGGCGACGGTATTATGCTTTGGGGAACATTCTTATGGGAGGCTTTGGGACCCTTAGTTGTAGTAGAACAGACCATGAAAGCTGCGGATTATCAGAACATAATTGCGAATCAGTTGATCCCTTTGCATGGCGTCTGTCTTCCCAACTCAAAATGGAATCTTGCAAGAGAAGAACGCCTCATGTCACAAGGCTCGAATTGTGTTGCAATGGCTTGATGAGTATAAGAATGAATTCCAGTTAATGTCCTGGCCTCCTAACTCGCCGGATCTTAAAAGGATAGAGCACATTTGGTATGTCATGGAGCCGCAGCTCAGAGATCGAACACCACCATGTGGGAATATCTCGACTTTGCGTGTCGTTGCTTAGACATTTGATAACAACCTGTCTCGAGTCACCTACCAAGAACTTGTGTTTTCCATGCCAAGGAGAATTGTAGCTATTTTGCAGGCCAAAAGTCTCGCAACGCGTTATCGAGCAGGTAGTCATAATATTTTTGCCCTTCAATGTAAACTGAACTGTATTGTGATGCAAGGGAAGCGCAACACAGTAAACAGGAAAGCTTCTAAACCTTGACCATGAAACGGATTAATTCAAGACAACATGCTGGTTATTTTGTTTTTCATTTAAAAATTTCATGTTAAATTTTTAGTTGGAAATGATAACACATTTGTAACTGTTTTGTAATTTTTAGCTTGCTTGAGTCCATTTAATTAGAATTTTTTTCATGTACAGTTTATCTTAATGTGAATATTGAGCAAGAAGCGTAAATTAGCTTAAAATGTAATTGTAGTGTTAAATAAAACTACTAAACGGAGTAAAAATTAAAGTATTTTCTTTAATAACTTATAGTCATTATCACGATTTCTCATCTGGATTTTGAAAATGATCATACTTAAATAAAGTACTTATTTTAAAATTTAAACTTAATTTCTAGACTACGCTCTTCTGCTCTAAGAAAAAATTCTGAAACAAAGAAGCAACGTTTGAGCAAGCTGATACATATCAAACTCAATTTCTGAGTCATTTAGTGAATACTATGCATTTAATGGTACTGCTATTATTTTAAAAAATGAGTGCAAATATTTTAGTGGAAGAGAAGTTAAGTAAAGTTACTATAGCTAATACAACGCTTGCCAGTTATAAGTTTGACTGCTAAATTCTCGGGAAGATTTCGTTTCTCAGCCTCTTTAAATCTGAGAAAATTTGAATGTAAAGCACTGCCGCAAACTACATTGCAGGAGTTTTACTACTGAAATATTCGCAAAACATCATTACGAAGAACACTGCAAGAGGGGTTTTCTTTGGAATTCCCAAATTGGCACTCGATGGTACTAATGCAGTATAACATAATTAAAAGCATTATTGGCTTGTTAAAGAAAATTATTCTAAAAATACGTTTAATACTTTTGCGAAGACTCACTGTATGTTTTGGCGCCACCAGTGGATTAGCGGTAGTTTGTCCTGGGTTCAAACCCAGCGAATGGGCTGGCTACATGGTTTGGTTTCATGTATGGTTGAGTTTCGTTGCCTGCATGGTTTTCTCCATGTGTAACGTGATAATTAGCCAGTTTCTCTTAGAAGGCCCTCCATGAAGGCATCCATTCCCTTAGTCAGATAGACCTTATGTGCTTTGATTTACTGAAATAACCTACCTCACCTTGTATGTTTCGTATTACGTTAAAATATAATAATTTTGAAAATCATATTTGGGTGTGCTTTAGTATTATACTTTGATTCTTTCAGTCACCCTGTATCCTACTAATGTTTGTTTTCCTTTTTATTTTATCATTATTACATGCGTTTCGCCGGTTTTAATAGCAGCTGTTAGTTGTTGGCAGCTCGATTTCTTAATTAGAAGTCTTATTTCAGAAAACGGTATTGTAATTTGGAAGCTGTATAATTTGCGCAGAGTGTTCTGTTTTTGATATACGTGCTAACCAGTCGTCAGAATTTTACTTCGTATTTAAATATTCCCCGTCAAAGTTTCATAGATAGCAGATAAATAACCAGCCGTCTCGTTGTAAACCAGCCGCCTCGTTGGAGGAGGAAAGAAAAGGAAAGCTGGTAGTTTTGCCGTTTCAATCTTACTATAAATATATGCCCTCATAATCGTTATATTTTTTGATTATCTCTTCTTTGCAGCTCATTTAGTGTAAAAACCGCAGTTAATTTGAATTAGTACTCATTTTACAATAACAGAATCCTAAGTTTCCCTTATTGGACAGAAATCGATACAGTATTATCATATTATATGTCATTTCTATGGAATAAAACAGACTGAACATTTCCTTTTTATTTTGTAATACATTATTCTGTTTTTACTTTTATGAATGACACAATGAAGCAATAAAAATCTTACAGCATATTACAGAAATGATGGAAAAAATAGTGAATAACATTAAGTTATCGTTTACCAAGTCCAGTAAGCATCCATCCAGGATCATACATGGATTTTTGCCTTCCTCCAAACCAACTGAGCTTATTATTGAACCTATCATTACCAGAATCCTCTCCAGAAATCCCATCTATGCCATTCATTGAATCTTCCTTTTTAACAGTTTCTCTGGCAGCATCTTCTATTCCATTCCGCAAAGCGTTGAAAAATTCCAAATTAATGAGCGTTGAGATTCCCAGCAAAGGATCAATTCTTCCTTTAGAAGGTTCACGATCGTAAGATAGAAGAGTATCTTGTCGCTGCGGTCTTTTACCTAAACCAATGAATTTCCATCCAGGGTCATATTTTGGCTTGTAATCAGATTTCTTCCTATGTCCGGAATAATTATTTTCCATACTATCGAAATATGACTCGTGACCGAATGACTCCATTTCCATTTGGATTAATCCACGAAGATCGTCGAATGCATTAAATTGTTCTGCACGTCTTTTTATTCTTTCGTTTCTAGTTTCGTGAGTTTTGTGTGGTTGGAACTTCGTATCTGTAACACTCTCTGCTCCTTTCAAATTGGACCCTGAAAAGTAAAGTTAAATAAATAACTAAACAGAGCAGAATAAAAATATTAACGTATAGTTTTATACTACGAGTGCTAATGCACGTAAGTTTTCAAAATTTATTCAGCTTTGTTCAGCTTCTTTTAATCAGCCTAATACACTCGTGTACTTTACTTAAAATAAATACAGTATTGTAACCGATAAAATTAAACCTGTCCTTGCCTTCAATACAAATTGATCCCTAGTAAGAAAATTTACATCAAACTTCATCACCAAGCTTTTATTCTGTAGTCGAGTGCGTAATACACGCCACTAGAAACGTCTGTTATTAACTGAGTGCACACATTTTAAAGGATTATAGACTTGATGTATTATAAATTAAATCAGACATGTGTGTTATTAGGAAATATAGTAAAGGTCAGAATTGTTAAAAATTAAGTAGGTTGTTTTTAAATATATAAAACTTTTTACACTCGAATGTGCAATACATTTTTGCAGTTGGAAAGGCCTCTTGTTGGAAAACTGGAAACAGTTTCAGAATCCGCAGTATGAGAGAAAATGTAAATTTAAGATCTGCTACTCAACTGCCAGTTCTGGTAGCCTCAGAATGTGCAATTTGAGAGGAAATACGAATTAAAATTCTTTTGCTGTATTATTACCAGCTATTATTTGCTGTATTATTAAGAATGATTAAAGCTGAAGTGCGTAACATAATGTGACGTGAGAAATGCATTTTTTCTAGAACACCGAATATTCCATGTTTGAGTAAGAATACAACACAATATAATGTCACTCACTATTAATCGCAGAAAATTTACATTTTATACTAAGCTACTAAACGTCTGCTATGTTTCCAGCATAAGTCCTCATAGTAAGATGAAAAAGGCCAAACGTAAATTTTCTGTTTTATACGAGGTAAATAATTTTCTCAAGATCTTTTGTTTATCTAGTGAATAAAAACAACGAGCATTTATTCAGAAAAAACTAGCAGTTAATATTAAAAATTTGTTATTATTTTTGTTGGAGCTAGCAATTAGTAACAGTAGTTCGTTAAACGGTTCTGTTACCATTATTTCAAATGTTAATGATTAATTCAGAAGTCAAACAGCAAAAATCAGCGTTATATTTTCAAATTTTTACAGGACTAGTTTCGATGGTTCGACTGGGAAAATTTGAAAATATAACGCTGATTTTTGTTGTTTGACTTCTGAATTAATATTTGTTCGGCGTGTTATTGTATCTTAATTATGTTAATGATTATTCATTATAACAATGCCAAAAGGCCAAAACAGAGTTAAAAATCATAACAAAACAAAAATAAAGACATTGTCAAATACATATTACCACATACAAAACGTAACACATGTAATTATCGCCTTTTCTTGTCAAAAATGTGTATAAAATTGCATTTCGTTTTATAAAATGTGTTAGCTCACTAACCACAGCAATGAGAGAAAATAAATAGTTCGTTTAAATATTCTTTTGACTGTTACTTTGAATTAAAACTCCTCCAAAATTATTGTAGCTTTATTTAATTATTATAGCTATGTTATAAAGCAAATTTTAATAGCAATGATAGCCCACCAGCGGCCGAGCGGTAAAAGCCGCTGAACACTGGTAATTTGATCGGGGGTTCGAATCCCGGTGAACGGGCTGGCTGCATGGGCGTTTCGTGGTTTTCCCCATGTGTAACGTGGATACGAGCCAGTTTCCCTTAAAAAGACCTCTACAGGGCATCCCTCCATTTCCGTGTAGTGCACAAGGGCGGAGCACGTAATAAGCCAAAAAAAATAGTAATGATCAATTTTTATTTAACTTTGTTATTTCAAAGAATTAATGCACATTATTTAGAAATTGCTAGAATATTTAGCACTATCTGAAAGGAAATTTTTGGACACTATTTCATACATAAGAAAATTCATTATCACGTATGCGTGCAATGGCTTCACAAATTAATAATTTTAATGAAGTATTAGCCCATTTTATAGCATAGGCTATTAGCTCTTACTATTGATTTAGAAATAGTTCTAACAATCTGTCAAGATGCCTTTGTTTCCTTAGATATTGTCTTACTTTGTGCTTCTAGTCAAAAAATTTCTCAAAGTATAATAAAGAATTTTTTAAAAATAAAAATATCTTCAACCCTGGGGGTGACAGGTTTTTGTAAATATAAAATGTAACTTTTTAAATAGTACTCATAAAAAAAAATCCGATTAGTTGAATATTCATAATGATACTTTTGTGTTCCATCCTGTCCCCCGATCAGCTTACATTCAGGAATCGCTGGTAAACTGAATCGGCTCTCAAAATGAACAGTAACTAACGCCACCGTAAAGACCAACCAACGGGTGAGAGGTAAAATCGCTGAACGCTGGGCGTTCGATGTTGGTTCGATTCCAAGCGAATGGGTTGGCTGAATGGGCACTCTGGCGACTTTCTCGTTGCGTAACATGGATACAAGTCAGTTTCCCTTAGAAATCCTCCTCGTAAGCATCCCTCTTCTTAAGCAGATAGCCTTCGTGTGCTTTACCATATTAAAATAAACGAAACTAAACCTTACTCTACTATTTTGCCGTCCATCACCAGTACAGTTTGCACTGCAGTAAAGTATATGCCCAACGACTAATATTAAAGTGACACCAAATACTGGTTGTCGAAACGACAGGCCATTTATGTGCTGATATAAGTAGCATTTATTTTTACTAATTCTCTGATTTTTTATGTGTTCATTTCCTTCTTTCTTTTTCATTAAAAAGTTATTAGTTGATACAAAAATGGGAAACATAGAAGAAAAATTATTATTTATTTCTTCCTGCGCTTGCAAATTTACGCGAAAATTCAAAAGTCAATAAGTTTGGAAAAGTTCTCAGTCAGAATATGCATATCTGCGACGTTATCAGGCGAGGATTTGCAGGTGCCTTATTTTTTACCACGCTATTTCATACGAAGATGCTTTGAAACTGCGAAGTTTTGCACCGCTTTATTTTCTACTACAATGCTTTAAAACTGCAGTGTTTTCTCCCGCGATGTTTTGTACGTCGACGTTTTCCCCTTGCGGTGTTTTCTTCGAGATGGTTATTGTCTCGATATTTTCATCTGCAACCTTTTATTAGTTATATGGTATTATTTCCAAAGGAGCTTCCAGAAAGCACTTTTAATCCTTGTGCTCAACATAGTTAATACTGTTTAGATTGCTTCGTAAAAGAGTTTACGAAATAGTGTCTTTTCATAACAAATTAAATACACTACCCGACATTGATAATAGAACACCAAGGAGTGACCAGAAAGTGATGATACTCGGCAAACAAAGAGAGACAGCAACAAACAATACGTGATCTTTACTTCGAAACGATATACTCATACATAATACAGAGCGAAAACAGCGCCGGCTCAGTGGGTTGTAGGAGCATTTTGGATGGCGATACACGAAGCAACACGTCTAGGTACAGAGTTAATGAGACTACGGATGGGATCCTGGGAAATGGCTCTCCATTCCCTGTCAACCATTTGCCACAGTTCGTCTTCTGAACTCGGCAATGGCAGGGTCTGCAAATGGCGTTCAATCACATTCCTAATGTGTTTGATTGATAAAAGATCAGGAGAGAACTGTGGTCAGGGAAGCATCTGTACACCTCGAATCATAGTGCTCTGAATACGAACTACAGGTAACCTGAAATCATACCTAAAAATCAGGTAACCTAAAATCAAAATGCCGCGTTGTCGCGCGGTGGGCGTTCTACAAATTGCTGCCGGATTGGACCTGTCTACACATCGACGCCACACTCGTACCTTGTAACTATCATTGTAGAAACATAAGGACTCATCTGGACTGTCGTCCACATCACTGGAGCCCGGCACCATTGCAGACGTTGGCGTCTATGATGTGGAGTCAATGGCATCTTCTTAACGGACGCCACGAATGCAGACCACTAGCCACCAATCGACGGCAAATGGTTCTGGTCTATATGGGAACATCCAGGGTGTCTTGAACATGCTACAGAATGGAGGTAGAGGTGGCTTGCGGGTGCACCACCGCTGCTCAGCGGATGCGTCGATCCACGCGTGCTGACGTCACTTTGGCTGCACCGGCACCCATCGAACTTGCTATACTTCCTTGATCCAACAATCGTCACCACAGCCGGTGCACCGTGGACGCGTCCAGGCGTGTGTCAGCTCAGACTTGCCGTATGGACCAAGCGGTTTTTAATTTATACTCACAATTATTTTTACATTTCTTTGAAAACATTTCTTAAACTCAAAAGGATATCGAACAATGAAAATGTGTTGTATCTTTAGCTGTTTATTTCATTTTTCCGAGAAGAAAATTAACTGTAATAAATCTTAGTTTTACATGGAAATCTTTGCATTACATGTTGAGTTTTATGTTTATTAACCATAACGCTCTGTTAACCCCGCAAGAACGGAGCTTTTTGTTATTACACTGTAGAGCTATTAGGTTATTTGGAAGCAAGAGACTTATGAGCAACGCTTTCGGGAATCGAACCACTAACCTCTGGAATACGCGCCCAGCATGCAGACCTCTACATCACGAAGGCACGCTAAGAAGGGAGAAATACCTTATATACTCCTTCTTTTAAAGGGCGACTGGGGTTTTAGGGGACCCAATCGCCAAATCCTGGGTGTGGAGGATCATGATCCACCACCCTTTTAGTTCAGGTCCCACTGTAGAGATATTAGGTTATTTGGAGCAAGATACTTGAAAAATGAGCAACTCCTTCGCCGGGAATCGAACGACGGACCTCTGGAATACGCGCCCAGCATGCAGACCACTACACTATGAAGGCACTGAAGAACGCTGGAGAAATACCTTATAACACGAGCTGTGTTAATTCTTAGCCTGAACATCTAATAAAGTTTGTTTTAAGCATTTTACAGTGTCAGGAGTTATTCCATTGGAATTCCATGCATATATACAATAAATAATTTGCAATGAGCTTGATAAATTAATAATAATTTTGATAAATTAATAATGAGTCTGATTTGCTCTCCAATAATTCCA